AAACAAATAAGAAACTTTGAGCCCTGGGGGATTACTCCAACCCTTGCCCATTCCAACCCAGACCTGGAGTGACATTTCTATGGATTTTATTGGAGGGTTACCTATAGCCCATGGAGTGGATACTGTCCTGGTAGTGGTGGATAGGTTAACCAAATATGCCCACTTTCTACCCCTTAGTCACCCTTACACAGCTAAAGAAGTTGCTGATCTTTTTATTCAAGAAGTGGTGAGGTTACATGGATTCCCTAGTTCTATAGTATCTGACAGAGACAAAGTCTTCATGAGCCAGTTCTGGTCAGAATTATTCAAACAGGCAGGTACCAAGTTGAAATACAGCAGTACTTACCATCCTCAATCTGATGGGCAAACTGAAGTGGTGAATAGATGTTTGGAGACCTATTTAAGATGTGTAACAGGCTTGAAACCAAGACAGTGGCCTAAGTGGATGGCTTGGGCAGAGCATTGGTACAACACAAATTATCATGCTTCACTAAGGACTGCACCTTTTGAAGCTCTTTATGGGAGAGCTCCCCCTGTGTTAGTCAGAAGAGATAGTCCTCCATCAGTAGTAGATGAGGTGAATAGGTTAACTGCTGAGAGGAATTTAGTGTTGAAGGAACTGAAGGAACAATTGCTTAAGGCTCAGGATGTAATGAGAAATCAGGACAATAAGCATAGAAGGGATGTGGAATATGAGTTGGGAGATCAAGTTTTCTTGAAGATCCAGCCTTACAAGATGAAGAAGTTGGCCAAAAGGATGAACCAGAAACTCAGTCCTAGGTATTATGGCCCTTTTGAAGTTATCCAAGAGATAGGTGCAGTGGCTTATAAGTTGAAACTTCCTGAGGACTCTAGAGTACACCCAGTGTTTCATGCATCCTTGTTAAAGAAAGTTGTATCACATGCTGTGGCACCTCAACCTCTGCCAGCATGCATGAATGAGGAATGGTACTTGGAACCAACACCTGAAAAGGCAGTAGAATGCAAGCATGGAGAGAAAGGTGGGGTAGAGGTGTTGGTAAAATGGAAAAATCTGCCCAACTTTGAAAATTACTGGAAGTTGGTTGAGAAAATGAGGGCAAAATTTCCTACTTTTCTCCTTGAGGACAAAGAGAGTCTTGGAGGGGGGAGAGTTGGTAGATATGGAAAAGTCTATCAAAGAAAACATAAGAAAGGAAGAGAGAGAGAGAGAGAGAGAGAGAGAGAGAGAGAGAGAGAGAGAGAGAGAGAGAGAGAGAGAGAGAGAGAGAGAGAGAGAGAGAGAGAGAGAGAGAGAGAGAGAGAGAGAGAGAGAGAGAGAGAGAGAGAGAGAGTAACAGAATAGTACACATTCTGCTAGCTGGCACAACACATGGGTGGGACAGCTGGCCTTTGGTGAATGGAGAGAGAATTTAGGGATTGTCCCATAAATGATTGGTGGCTGACAGAAATGAGATATGCAGAATTTAGTGGATAAGATCCATTTGGGAGAGACTAGGCCTTTCTAAGAGCCTCTTAATCTTTTTCTTACTTTTCTGCAAATTCTGTTCTTCTAAAAGGGATTAGATCTTGTTTGATCTCTAATCTTTTTCAATAAAGTTCATATTTTTCCTACTGTTATTGTTTATTTCTATTTCTCTGGTTTTTTTCTGCAGTTTCTACTTTTTAGATACTAAATTGAGCCTATCAGCAGTCTGTGAAACCCTTTGGTAGAAAGACCTAATGAAATTTAATGATGCTTGTGACGACATTGCTTTGTCTTCTATGGTTTCCTACAGGTTGGGGGATGGTTCACTTATTCCATTTTGGTTGGCGAAATGGCTGGGTAACAGGCCGCTTATGCATGTTTTTCCAGCTCTGTTTGGTACTTTGGAGAGTAAGCTTGTGGTAGTGGCGGATATGGGTTGTTGGATTGGTCAAAATTGGGTGAGGGAATTAAGTATTATTTGGTCAGACTTGTGCTATACAGATGATACTGAGTTAGACGAATTAATGGCTTTGTCGAAGGGTGTTTCTTTGTCGCGATTTGGAATTGATGAGTTCATTTGCCCGTATGGTGCAAAAATTTTTTTCTATCAAAATATTCTATCATAAATTGAGAGAAGTTGATAGTGGAATGGTGGTGGACTCGTCAACCTCTATTTTGTTAGTTGATATGTGAAACTCCACATTTTCGTTGAAGGTCAAGATTTTCGGTTGGAGGTTAATTATCGATAGATTGTCGGCTCGCCTCAACCTAGCTAATAGAAATATCATTAGTTTCGTTCATGATAAGGTATATGATGAAAATGTTGTCCATATGTTTTTAAATTGTACGGCTGCTAGCCCGGTGTGGAGGAAAATTACGTCTTGGATTGGTAAACAGTACTTTGTAGCAGCAAATATTGGAGATCACTTGAGGAATTGGGAGATTTTGATGAGGGAGAAACGTTTAAAATTCTCTATTTTTTTGATCTGGTATGGGACTTGTTGGTGTATTTGAAAGACGCGTAACCAAATAATATTTGAAGGTGCCATAGGTAATTCAGAGGTTGTGGTGGAGAGGACTATAACGATTTCGTGGTCGTGGTTAGCTTTAACTCATAATGGATCTTATCAATGTAATCTCTATGAGTGGTATAAATGCCCTCTAGACTTTTTATAGGAGTATTTTTTTGTTTCTCATTGGAGTTGATTGTATCTGTATGGCTTAATTCATCTTTTGGTCCCTTAAAGTAATTAATTGTTTCAGTTTGGTCCCTTAGTTAAAAAATGTTACATTATAGTCCTTTAAAACAATTATGTTATTCAAATTGATCCATTTCGTTAAGTTTTGAGAGAAAAATGTTAAACTGTGCATATGTGGCCGTCTACTTGGCAGTATGTTATCTTACTTGGCATTTTATTTTTTTCTCTTTCAAATTATTAATATTTGTTATTAAACATGTGAAACACTCTAACCCTAATTTTATTCCCTTGCTCCAAATCCTCATTCTTCCTCAAAATACTTGTTCATTCCTCTCCCCATTACTACTTTCCTATGCATCTTCGTTCTTCCTCCAAATCCTTTTTATTTTCATTGTGAATCATAAACAACACCGACCTATGGTATATTATTGAGATTTAAAGCAATTTTTTTAACACAACTGAGTTACTTGACTTCTCCAACAGCGATGAACAACACCACGAGGAAGATGAAGAAGAAAAAGATAGTTTATTTTCAGAACTAAGTTACTCATTTTTTCTGGTGAGTTTATTACTATCAATAACTATTGTTCCAACAAATTCTTAAGTTGTTTTTTTTTTTCATTTTTGATTTCTTCTCTCTTTCAGTTTCTTTCGATTTTGTAAGAAAATTTTCAACCTCAAAGTTTTTAGTTTTATGTTATTTTTGTGAAATCTTACTAATGTATTTTTTGTTATTTTTTTAAGTTAAAAAAAGGAAGAGAAATTTGTGTTTCAGTGGGTTATGAAGAATAACTATAGTTCATCTCAATAGGTCTTTTTCATAGCCACAATCCATACCTAAATTATATAAAGGGATTTGTTTGCTTGAAAATCAGATTCCTATATTTGTTTTGGGTGGAATTACACAAAGTTGAATGAAGCATGAATTAGATTTGAGAAAGTTCAAGATCGAAGCTATTTGACATAAATTAAGAAAACACCAATCTTGAATTGCCTTTTGTGCTTAGATGTTCTTGGATTTTCCATTATGTGAATTATCAAAATCAAAATGTTAATTTTTTTCAATGTTTTGAAGGATATCTTTTTGGAAGATGATTTAGAAGGTGTGACCAACAGAGTGTTATTTTACATAGAAATCGATGAAAAATTATCGGGTATTATACTACTGCTTTCATTCTTTATAAATGTTTGATTTTTAATTAGTGATTATTTCTTCTCTTATCTCTTGTTTCAGATGATATTTTAAATGATGCAAATGTGAAGAAATTGAAATAAAAAATTTAAAGAATATTTTCACAAGAGGGATTGTTTTACTGATGCAGAAGATGATGAAATATTAATCCAATTTCCTGTAAATTAATTAATAATTTTTATGTTTTTCTAAGTTAATTATGTAAATTAATTAAAATTTTATGATTTTTTAAATTTTTTTTAATGATTTTTATGTTTTTCTAAAACTTTATTTGTATGTTTTTTTCTTGTAAAAAAATGTGTACAATGATATGTAAATAAGTTTGTATTATTTATTATTATTATTGCTGATTCATTGCATAATTGGCATGTCACGTTGGTAAATATGAACATTTTTTTAGCTAAACTAACTGTAAGAACGAATAATGTTAGCTGAACAAATATTAAAGCATTAAATTGTAACGTTTTTTATTAAGAGACTAAAGTGAAACTTATAATTTCCTCGAGAGACCTAAGAACTAATTATAAGATAGTAATTCAAAGTACATATGTAACTCTCTCCAACAGAACTTTCTCAAACAAAGGTTAGTATCATAACTTAAGATGACAAAGAAGCTATGATATGATAATTCTTACCTAAGGATCTAGCAAACAACGGACCAACAAACCCAACATATCATGAACGTGTCTCTTAAAGTATGAAAAGTTAGTTATCATCCATTTAGAAAGACATTTATGAAATGAAAACTAATCACTTTCTGTAACCAATTACTATTTTGACGATTATTAGTCCAAACAATGCTGAAATATAGATATTCTATGGTTGCAAACCATATTCACCAAAAGAAAACCTAGAATGTTAATATACTGTGTTAAAAAATTTTTCAAATCTCATACTGGTAGACACACTTATTGGTAGTGAAATTTGAAGCCAATATATTTCACTTCAAAGACAAGTTTTTGGATATTGTTTAGACTCAACGGTCTCCAATGATACATAATTAACAAACACTACCGAAATCAGAAATAGAAATTACAATTAAGTTCACAACACAAGACTTAGAGCACACTGAATATAATTCGATAGAGTAGCAGCCAACATACATTCTTTTTAGAAGATTTATGGCTATTTAGGCATAATATCGAGCAATGCCAAATGGTTATTAAATCCATTGTCCATGCATGTTTCCAACACCTTCCAATGCCAAATGTTGTTGCTGTTGAAAAAAAGAAAACAAGGACAATATTTAGAAAACATGATCTTTGACAAGCTAATCTAAAAAACCATTTCAAGTTCTCTAAAGACCAACAAACATAAGTTATATTATTAGCAATATCTTTGTACCAGAAGAAAGTTGAGTTCCTTATTTTCATCCTCCAAAATCTTTCCCTGAGAATTATCAAAGAAATTACACAAGTTAAGCAAAAAAAAGTGTATTTTATGTTAATACATGGTTTAGTATTTTTTTATATTCAACAAACAAGAAAACACATACATTTCTCTTGAACATCCTATGCACTTCCATCTGCATCACAAACAAAAACAAAACTATGAGGCAACATTTTAAAGATAAGTTATAATGATAACTATCAGAAAAATGAATTAACCTTTTTGTCTCTAACACCAGTGAGGCCATTTTCAAGGGCATCCTCAAGAGACATAAGCTCTTTGTAATTCAGTGAAGTAATGTCCTCTCCCTTCAAGTGCCTAGAAAATGTAACCAAAAAGATAATTAAAGTTCATTTTATCATATGATATACAACTAGGGCACTTAATGTATATAATATATAAAATTAATATAATAAATAATAAATATTACCTGAGTTCAATTTGCATGCTGTCATTCTCCTTTTTGATTCTATCAATTTCATTGCTAAGGTTCTGTGAGTTCAATCCAAAAAAATGAAGATTTTTGTATAGATCTAGGTTAGAATATCAGTGAAAAACATGCAGTCAAGAGAGAGATTCATCTCATTTATTAATCACATTTTTTTTGTTAGAAACTCTTAAGATTCACCTTTTGAAATATCTTAGCAAAGAAAAGGAAGCTAATGAATATTGTTATATATTTCTAGATCTGTTCATATATTGAGAAATTCATTCACTTTTTCTTCTTTCCTTTCTCAATAACAAAATAATATCTATGTGTTCCAAATGTAGATCTGGTCAAAGAATCATTGGTTCTTGTTCCTCAACATGTTTTTAGCAAAAACAAATAAGTATATAATATTAATGCATGATTGTTTGTGAAAATTAAACCTACCTCATGTTTAGCATCCCAGAGAGTTTTTCCAGAAGCTCTCTGGTATCTGTCGAGAACATCAATCAACCTTAAGCAAGAAAAAAGAAAAAAAAGTGAGAGATGAGATTAATATCATAAGCTATTTTTCTGCAAGGAAATAGAAGAAAAATAAGTGCTTAATATTACGTGGTGGAGGGACTGATGTATTCATGCATCTTTCCAGAAGCACCAAAGAGAATAAGAGAAACTTGAGCATCACAAAGAACACTTATTTCCTTTGCTTTCTTAAGGATACCATTCTTTCTCTTTGAATAGGTAACTTGTCTGTTGCTTGAGTTTTCAATCCTCTTGATCTCAATCTTACCTCTTCCCATCTTGTTCTTCTGAACCTGGTTTTTGGTTTTCTTTCTGTGTGTGTTGTAATTGTTAATGGCTAGTGGAGATTAATAGAGAGGTGTATATAGAAAGCAAGTAAAGTAATAGATGACCATTCTATTTTAGGTTTGTGGATGAGTAACTTTCTGAGTGGCACAGAAAGGAAGTCTTTGTTTAAGGGTTTGTGATAAAGCCAACTCAATGCTAGTGCTTTTATTATTATCTTTTGTTAATTACCTTTGATTTCAAACTCTTTGTTTGTGTCTTCCATTTTCTTAACCCTTGGTTTTCTTTATGCATCTCTAAGCATGAATATAGCTTAATTAAAATTTCATGATAATAAGTAACACGCGTCTATTCTGACTTAAACTCGTGTCTCTACCATCAGATGTCTTTGCGACTATCAAAGACATGATTTTTTAAGTAGGTTATTGAACTTTTTGATTGAAAGTAGAAGTTAGTGTGGATTTTTAGGGTACGGTTATATAGATAGGTAAAACAAGGTTTGAGAAAAAGGATATAACGGTGTTTAACTTGTATTGGTGTCCGTGATTTTGTTTGTAGTAGTAGCTAGGGTTTGAATGATTGTGATGTGTAACTATAGTTATATCATATATGTGTTTCACAGCCGCACAACCATCAAATCAAATGAAATGAAAAATGATTTATTTGTGAGCAAAGAAAAAAAGGAAATTGAATGGCTAGTATAGAACTAGGCTCAACTCAAGGTATAGTATTATCCATGAAATTTTGAGAGCATGTTATGATATAGTATGTATTATTTGGAATTTAGCATAAGCACTTGTTTTGTTTTTGTTGTTGTTGGTGGTGAAATATGGTGATGGTGGTGAATCCATTGATATGATTTGAAATGTCTGCGGTTGGTAGAAACCAAAACCACAACCCTCAAATCACTCTACCTATGTGCTATGGCCGGAAGACTGCATGACATGACAAACTATACTTAAAGATTATGTCTAATCTTCAATTCATAATGTCTCAAACAAAAGAAATCAAAATTTGAAGGAAAATTAAAGCAAACAAGTTCTTTTTTTAAGAAAAGAAATTAATGATAATGGAATGTAGATGTTGTGGTGTGATGTTGGTTGATTTTAAGATAAAAAACCATTTAATTTAAAAATAAAGGACTGTTTCAATTTTGTTAAAATAATTTTTATAGTATTATATATTTTTATTTAAAAATTTCATAGGGAATTTTTTATAAAAATAATTTTCAATGAATTAATTTGGTTTGAATAGCTTTTTTTAAAATGTTTTTTCATGTATCATTTTTTTTATGTCATAATTTTGAAAAAAATATTTAAATTTGGAGTTATTTTGAATTTTTTTTTATAATTTTTCTTAAATATAACATTTGAAAAATTATGTGATTTTTATCGTGTTAAAATCTTTAATATTGAATATTTAAATTATTGGATTCAAAATTGTTCTTTTAAATTATAAAAAAAAAAGAGTTTAAAATGACTTTTACTTTTGAAAAAATTCTCATACTTTTTTATATAAAAAAATACGAAGAAAAATTATTTTATAAAAGTTAAAACAAATGGCCTAAAATTATATGATGTTAATTAATTTGGATGATTACTTATATAACCACTATCTTCTTTCATACTTTGGGGAGGCTGGGGGTGGTGGTCTAAGGTAACTTAGGTGAAGTGAGAGGATGTGGTGGTCTAAGAAAGATGATTTAGGAATTAATGATCTTAGGCTATTAAATTTGAAGTTGTTGAATAAATAGAGGTGGCAAGTTCTAGAGGAACAACCATTCCTTTCGGAAGAATATAGTTTCTTCTAGATATGCAGATCATGTGAGTAATTCCTTGATGAGTGGTATTATGGTTGGATTAAGGAAGGCTTCCTATTGGTGGGGAGGGGTCTCCCTTCTGGGCTCCACATCTGATAAACGTGTAGATTGGTTCATTTCTTCTTGTTCTAATGGGTTGAAAGTTGGGTTCAGGCATGACGCTTGGGTAGGGCAAAGTCTATTGTATGCTTCCTTTGAGAGGTTGTTCTTCATCTCGAAGCAAAAGTCTCTTTTGGTGGAGCTAGTGGGGAATTGGATAGGTGATGTTTGGGTTTGAGACTATAGGTATAGGTGTTCAATCCTTGCCATGATAGTTGATTTTGATAGCAAGAATGGTTTAGCAGGGTCATCAGGATAATTGAGTTTGGATCCCAGATTCCTCAATGAGGCTTTTCAGTGAGGCTTACCTATGTTAGACTTTCTTCTTTGGCGGTTGGTGTGGATAGTATATCAGATCGTTTGATCCAAAAAATGTCTAGGGTTTAGAAGAGTTTGGAGCCTTCTAAAATGGTGGCCTTTTCTTGACAGATAATACAAGATAGATTGTCAACCAGGAAAAATCGTTAATTTAGACGCCAAATTGTGTCTCTTGTGATTGGCGAGGGGTGTATGGTTTGTCTGAGTCATGAGGAGTTCATGGATCACTTGTTTGTCCATTGTGGGGTAGTTTCCTCACTATAATACAAGGTGTTTATGTGGGTGTGTATGTCTACCCCACTTTTACACTCGATCTTAGAGATTTTTGAGGTTTTTCAAAGTGACTAGTAAATTAGCAAGTGTACTAATTTGTTAATGTAGTAATAAAGGGGAATCCCTAGTATCGATCTCGAGGGATGCTCGACGATACAAATTTTTGGTTATACTATAGTTAAACAAAAGCCTTGGGGTTTTGGATAGAGGTTTTGAAAAGCAGAAATTAAAATGCACTAAAAAGTAAATAAAGCAGTTGAACGATTTAAAAGTGATTATGAGTGAAGATGTTAGGGAAGGTGTGTGATTAAATTCATCCACAACATGAATTTGATCTTGTAACGACTTAGTTCAATAATACCGAGTACCGGTTCTTAAGGGTGCTTACTCATAAGTCCTTAGTGAGAAAACCTTTAATCATTCAAATTAATTCATATGGTCATAGCGAATTACAGATGAAATTAAGCATTATTTTAATCAAGAATATTCCGATAACCACAAGGTATCCCTAGGCCTAGGTGATATCTATTATGAAATGCTCACAATCAAGCGTTAACAATGGTTGGCAGACCTAAATATTAACCACATATCAAACTCAAATTTGCCGAAAGAGAAAGCATTAAGCACAAAAAGTAAGCAAGTCAAATATAATCAAAATAAAGTCATTACAAGGTTCAAATCAGAATTGTATCATAAGTAGGAATCAGGGATACCCCATAGCATTAGGGGGTTTAGCTACTCATAGTCATTAAGAAAATCGAAATAAAAATGTAGATATTACAAATTAATGGAAGAAAAGAGGGTTTCAATCACTAAAGTTCATGAAACCCTTGATCCACCACAAATTCTCTAGTGTTCCAGCCTTTAAAACACGTTCTCTATATATAAAAAAATCGCTGAACCCTTGAAAATTCGTGTTTTTCGGGTAAATAGACAACGTCAGGGATTTTCCAAATCTGGGTCGTACCATACACGTATGGCCTCCACCTATATGTGTATGGGCTATTTTTGCACTGTCTCATAAGCGTATCGGTCAAGGTAGGGCGTATGGCCCAGCCAGAGCCATACGAGTAAGGCTTTTGGCTACGTATAGGGGGTTTGGCTGGCTGGCCTCATACACATATGGGCCTTCCCATACGTGATGTGCAGAGACTTAAATATCACTTCCCTCCTGTTGTTACGCATATGATGGGAGGTGCTGGTGAGTAGCCATACGCATATGTTGGTATTCTGAGGTTCCGGTATTCTCTCGCCGATGCAAATCTATGATTGTATTCAGTCAACAGCACAACAGCGAGTCTGAGCATTGGATACCTTGATCCCATGGTTGAATTTGCATAATCATCCTGCATTTAACATTGCATGTCTATATGTTCGAAAGGTTCTCGTATCTCCTTTGATTCTGGTACTGATCTTCTGAAGAGAGGGAGAATTGTTGTATACAAGTTTCTGACACCTGAGTTAGGGCCTTTATTTGGTTTGATCTCCATGTTTACATTTTGCATCCTGCATTCTCATTTACATCGCAGGTGGTTCTCAAGGGGCCTTGTGTTCTTATCTCTGCTTGGTTTTCTTAAGTAATAGGATTGAGGAGTTCAGTTTCCACGAATATTCAACTTGAGGGAATCAGTGAAGAGTAATGGATCAGATTCGGGAAGAGTTGAGGGAAGTCCAAATCCAGATGGGACAATTCATGATGGGCATGCAAGCCTTGCACCTGGATCAGAAGGCGCTTAAGAAGGAGGTTCATCAACTGAAGACTCAGATGGGCCTGATCATAGAAGTGATAAGTAACGTGCTAAGAAAGGAGGGGGATCAGGTGCCTGAAGCTGCAGCAGAGATGGTTGTCCCACCTTTATCTGTGGAACCTCCCCCAAGGTGTGGTGTGCCTCAAGGATCTTCTACACGACTTGAGTTTCCAGGTTCTCCCTGTCAGCAGCTACCTCCTGTTTCCCGAGACAATCTTAAGACTAGGAGGTATGCTCGGAGGAAGAAGCAGCCCAAAAGAATCTTCGACCAGATACTTATAACTTATGCTCAGTTGCTGCAACTCTTGCTTCAACTTCGGACTCTGGCTCCATTTACTGGTAAGCCACCACCAGGCTATGATGCAAGTGCCCATTGTGATTTCTATTCTGGGGCACCAGGGTATAATGTCGAGAACTGCAAAGCTTTTAAGCACAAAGTTCAGGACTTAATTGATTCAAAGGCAGTTGAGTTCACGCCGGGCGGCGTAAGCGTACCAGGTGATCTTATCCCATTCATTGTGAAAAAGGTGGATGTACCTATTCGCTCCCCTGAAGCGGCATCAGGTCAGGAGTATGTATTGCAATCTGTAATCTCAGAATCTTCATGCCCACAGTTGTTGCCTGTTCCTAGGCCAAGCCTGAGGAGGAAAGTACCTGAACAAAGGAAGTCCTCGATACCTCAGACTCAATCTCTAGATGTTTCAAATGCTCAGAGTCAACAATCTTTTGGGTCTTT